TATAAGAGAGGAGTTCTTGGCGAATGTAATTCAATTATTGCTATTTTTAATTATGACTTCTTGAGCCAAACCGAAACATAATTATAATTGTGTCGCACACAACTCGGCATAATATATTGTTTGCGACTAACAAAGCAGGCCTTAACAAAGCAGGCAGGTATAGTATGGCTGGCAGCACAATCAACGCAAGTCTGAAAAGTTTTAACGATGTATTCTGCATTAATAACTTGTTGGAGCACCTCGCGATCGATATGTAACAATGTGCCAACATGCAATATCAGTGTACCATTGCTGGAGTCGTTTTCGAATAATTGGATTCAAGACTTCCACGGACGATGGGTAATTGTTGCGGCCGATTGTGGTCAATTACATTTGGTAGAAGAAACGAATTTAGGTTGCTGTAGTATCGGGTGGGTTGACCCCTGATCAAAAAATCCGACCCTTATCCGAGATCTCGAGCGAAATCACAAAGTCTGTCGTTGAAAAGGCTACAGGACACGATTTCAAAAGAATAACTGATTGTCAGCGAATAAAGAAAGTACTCGATGCGATCACTGGTAAGCGGAACACATAACATGTCGACGAAAGCAGATAAAGTTCCCCTTCGGACCGGACCGTCTGCTAAAAACGGCGAATAAATCCCTTATAAAAAGACTAAATCCATTTCTTGTAGCCAGATCGCTTTCAGATGAGATTGACCAGTGAATAAAAGCTCCATTTGTAATGAACTCAAGCCCACAAAGCACTCGGACGCTATAAGTATAAGTGACTGACTTTTCTCCGTTTTTCCCTAGTTTGTCTTATTACATTCCCGGATTCAATAAAGCTCGAGAATTTGTAGCAAAATGAGCTTTGTCGCCTTCCAAAGCGTATAATCAACGCATAACAACGAAATTTAATATCGAAAGCTTCATTATATCTGCGTCTCTTAGACCTAGGCGAACAAATATAAAAAGGCGACGAGTTAAGCTCAAAAGCTATACATGTGCTTTTCATGCAAATGTGCCCCGTTTCAATAGCATTAAAACTTCACAAAGAACTACGTAATACACTGTCAAACAAATAATGCTCGAGATTCGACGTTTTTGGTTAAGTTAAGGACGCTTTTCATCAAGCAAAAAGAGAAATCAGACGATCAAACAGGAACATTTTTCGCAGTGCATGTAGGCACAACCTACATTTCTTTTCGATAAAGCTTGTCCACTGGATAAAAGGTGGAAATATTTACAGTGTATATTGGAAAAAAAGAATTTACATAGTAGAAAAGAGCTATTCGCATGGAAATGCGAATTCTATGCACCATTGTCGACTGCCGATAAAATATAAGATGACAACAATAGATGTTAGTTGGAAACCTCGCTAGAAACGTTTGCCATTTGATGTATCGCAGAATCGGGTATTTGGCTCAACTCTGTGTATGCTAACGATTCAGGACGTCCGGTTGTTGTATTTTATCATCAAGAATAAATAAACCATTAGCTGTGTTTACATTCTATTCGCTTAATCAATTGATGTGATTTATCAGATGTTCCTCCCTCAAAGGCTGCCAAAATTTTATTGTTCCTTTTGTATTCACTTGAAACGATTGCTGTATGCATTTTAAAATTAAGCCAAGCTTAGTTCTGATGTCTAATTTTATAAAATTCCTCATAAAAACGATATTACTAAGAATAGGTACTAATGAGTAAAATTAAATTTGAATTTGTTAAGGTGATCAAACTAGACTATGACTCAGAAAAGGGCTCGAACAATTTATAAATAAACTTTAGTGTTGATTGTTGGTGAACTTAGTAGGTAGTTTTTATTTTTAAGGGCTGGTTTAGAGAACATTTAATTGCAATTAAATTTTAATTTGACATTAATTTGCAACACAAACTAAATGACAATTTAATTCAAATTAGTTTAAAATAAATTTACATTAAACAAACTTTTTTTCTGTAATTCGTTCTAAAATTTTTTTCAAAAGAACAACGGCGCAGTGAGGGGGGATCCAAACTATAACCAGATCACTCTTACTGTTAGATCAAGTTTTTCCAAAATTTGAGCTTTAGAACCGTTTTACATTGAAAGAAGTCATTTTTTCCTTATTTTTTCAATTTTTCCTAATTGCAATTTAAACAGCGTTTACCGAACGTTTTGTTTTTTTCGATAAGGCGTGATGAAGAAAGCCTCTCATTGTTAAAATTCGGCAGCAAGTTGCTTGAAAGACCCATTTTCCTAGTCTTCGGTAGTAGCGCACACTACAATACACCGCACACTGAGACCAATCCCGAATCAATTGAATCTCGAATCACTGCCGCTCGATGACTCTACACTTGGCCATTGTCTGTCGTAATTGTAGCCTCTGGAGTAGTTGCCAAGAGCTCCAGGTGGTAAAAGGCCACTTTGCACGAGCCGAACACTCTCCCTCCTTTATATGGGCCGAGAAAATAATTACTCGCCGTTGGGGCGATACCATACAATACCAAAACACGCTTTATACAATGTCTCAGCAAATATTTTTTCCACTTTTGATTTGTGGTAAAATCTTATCGGTTGTAATTTTGGGTTATTCGAGTTATTATGACGAGGGTATAAATTAAGATCTTTGTCGAATCAAATTTCCCCATTCAAATCAGTGGTGTTTAGACACCAGTAATAATACGAGGGGCGATAACTCGATAAGCTGACAATGAAAAGATTCACATGGAACCAAGTTCTGCTAAACAGGGGCGGCTCGTGTGATTCTAAGTGACACATTTTCAAAATAACTTTTCAAATTTCGAGCTTTATTATGACTCGAATGTAACGTAAGTCATTGTCTAAGAAGAATGTGAAGCGAGAAATGTAATAATACATCTCAAGGGTAATAATAATCTTCGATTGTTATAAAGACGAACCGTCTATGTTTGGGCTTATCTCACTACTTGTTACAGGCCACTGTATTCAATTAAAAGGAATGAGTGGTGGTTAGGTGTTGGATAAGGGGCGTTCCATCGCCTGTTAACATTTTTCACTAACAACTCGACCATTTTTTATCTGAAGTATTGAAACAAAAATAGAGTATTGTATTGTAGTGTTCAGACCATTCAGTTGTCTGTTTTACTACTTGACATTTGATTATACAAATAACATAGCATTAAGTTGTTGAAATATAATGATTATTTCTTAAAAAAAGCTACTAAATTATTAAATTAGATTTATTTTAATTCCTGGCCATCAACAGAGGTGTCTTTGTTATTTTTTTAACTTTGCACATTTATTGTGGCATTTTTCTCTTCTAATGAAGTGAAGAAATGATGAATGATAAACACAATCAGATAACTAGTTAATCATATAATTAAGGTGCTGAGTTTCAGGAGAATCATGGCGTTGTTTGGTTTTTATTGATTGTGTTTGTACGTTTACGTAAGGATGAATTATGCAATATGCAACGTGTTAATGTTACAAAACGTAATTAGATGGAATAACAATGTAATTACGTTGTCTCTACAATTATTTTATTACTTTTGATATACTCATTCGTAATGTGACAAGGATTTCTATAGACGATGATCTGATCAAATGTCAGAGAGTTTAATTGGAATCGAACATTTTTTGTACAACCATTGTAAAAACATAATTTTTTTTAAATCAGCTTTAGGTACTTACGTAGGTACTTATCAAGCAATCTCTAATAACACCTACCAATAATAATTAGTGTCACTGTAATGATCAATAAATTATTTATAACTATTTGTGTAATTTATTTATGATATATTGTTAATAGGGTCTTACAATATTAATGTCTTGATAAATCATCTACAGTGTTTTAGATAGTTTCTATATTTTTCTTTTTCTCATATTTAAACTCGTATTTCTAATTATATGCGTGTAAGCTGTTATGTCGTTGTTATTACAGGATGAAGTAGGTTTAAATGAAATATAGTCTTAGTAGTTTAATCAAATCAGTAAATATAAATGTGGCTTTGATCAGATCTAATAGAGTACAGTATCTTTGAGTATCATTATTGAGTATCACTTTGAGTATCAGTATCATTTCATTAATAGGAATTTTCTTGTAACCATTGTTAATTGCCTTAAATTTTTAACTGAATTGAATGTAATTACTTAGTCAGTTATTTTCATTACAAAAAAAAGAACATATAAACCTTTTGGAACATTTACTTAAAAATTAAGTTGCTCTTTACGAAGAAATAAGCACGTTGTTTTGTCATGATAGAAATCTGCATTTTTATTGTCGGTTTAATAAGAAGCATTTATTAACGTATACATGTGAAAAATAGTGAAAACAAAAAATACTATGATTGACATTGTTTTCTACTTATTCAATCAGAATTTATAAGAAAACTTTTTTTATAAATAAAATTTTAGTGTTTTGAGCAAACAATAAGCTCTTAATTAACAGCTTTATTGTTCAAAATAATCAAAATCAACATTCATTCATAGGCTTTAAATTAATTTTTAAATTAAAAAAATACGTACGTTTTTAAAAACGTAAATAGAAAAGGCTAAAAGAGGTAAACTAGGTATATTTTAGCTTTTAGCTTTTATTCTTTGTAATTTGAGTTATAAAGTGTGAGTTTCCATACTAGGTGGTTGATTAAAATTCAGTTAGATTGTAAATAATTCAGCATTTGTCCGGTAGTTCCCAACAAAACATTCTATACAATAATTTAAAAACCTTCTATAGGTAATTACAACTGGTGAATAGTTCGATAGCATTCACGACCCATTCTTAACAATACGAGATGTTTATTTTCGAATTACACAAAACTGACACTTCACTATATCACAAAGGATAATAAACTATTAAATAGTCCATAAATCATTACACAAGACAGCATGTCGAATCGACGCGAAAACTGTACGCGTTATTCCAACACTTTCCCATAAAGCACCGGCTTTTATTAATAAGCTCTGCAGGAAGCCTGACTTATGAAAATAAAAGACAACATTTTTGAAACAATCACAAACTAGTTTATTGTTCGAGATTTTTTAGATTTTTCAATAACATACCATTACATTAATTCTATATTTAGATAAGTTCATAATAACAAGGTATATGGGGGATACTTAGTTTTATAGCTACCGAAAAATAGGAACAAAAATTTGTGTGAACTAAACAAGCGCTTTGTACAATACTTTAAAATAAGGACATGGTTGTTGTAATTATACATAGTTAACAACAACTATTTGTACACGCTATAGGATTATTTACATTTATACAAGTGTTAAGTATATTTAAAATTTGAACAAAACATAATAAATTAATTTCAAATCGAAACAAATTTTTCTAACTATGTATACGTTTACTTAGGTATGTTACATACAATTACGTCTATTTTTGCCTTTACGGCTAGAATATTTAGAGAGATATTCACACGAACGCACCTAGAAACCACCAATCACATTCACAACCGATCTGGTCAAAATATTACAGTGAGGGGTCTCCGAAACTCCCCTCCGGGCGTCTGCGTGGGGTACTGACTGGCGTACTGGGCCATGGGAAGGAGTCCGGGCACTGACGCTCCTTGCTGCATGCCACTACTGGGGTAGTACCCCGGAAGCGCCCCAGGCGACGCCCCCGCCGATGACGTTGTCGTAGAACTAGACGATGACGCCCCGTCCTGCCGCTCCTGGTTAGGTTTCACGTCCGGGGAGTCCGGAGACCGCGGCGATCCCAAATTTCCAGGGACTTGTTGCGGGGCGGAGGAGTCTGAATACATCTTGCCGATGTCAAGGGGGTAGGATCTCGCCGGGTCCGGGTTGTATTTACTATCCATATACATCTTGGAGGATTCAAAATAGGCCTTGGTGAGGGCGGAGGTCGAGTCTAGATAACCTCGCTCCAGGTAGCTCTTCGAGGACGAGTCCATGTATTTGGGGTCGGAGTACATGGACATGGCGAGGGAGGAGGGCGGCATGTAGGGTGAGCGGTACTTGTCTGCTTCCATCGAGTACTTCATGGCATCCATCGAACTCACCACCTGGAATAAATTAAATCGATAAAGTTTATGTAATTTTTCTATTATTAGTGTAGGTACTTTAATAAAAAGTTGGATACGATTTTTCTGTTTTTTTTGTTTCTCAAATATTTTGTGGGGTGATTGCTGGAGGTGTTAATTTCGGTCATTTAACGAGGACTACTGGTCGATTTCGGTAAACAGTCCCAAATAAATAGCCGTAAATTTTAAACGTTTTTTGTGGAGCACATAAATTTGGTTGTGTTAATCTGTATTTCCGTGTGGAACCTAATATTGGAAAGCCAAACAGTTTGAAAACCGGCGAACAAAAATGTCATTTGTTCCCCAGTGTTTGTAGTGAATCGTCGTCGACGAGGTGAAAATTAAATTACTGTCCAGACGCCTTGTTTTCGTTAATTGTGATAATTGCGTCGAGTCGACAGGCTAGTTTGTCCCACTAATGAACAATAATGACAGGTTTTATTTAAACAACATCTTTGTTTACCACCTAAAATTTTAGTGTAACCCTATATCTTGTTCGGTGAAGTATGCATTAAAGAAATAAAATGATTACGCGTAACGCAGGCGTTTGTTTAAATCGTTAAAGCACATTGTGTGGGATGATATATTGTCAGTTTTGTCCTGCAAGGTGCTGCTTTACGCGGACACAAAGGCATAACGTATTACACAGGTTCTTTGTACCAGACGTACGGAATTTTCAACCCGGCCTGACAGCGCTCTCCTAGCGTTTTTATGCGAATAAATCACTAATACCGGAACGCAGTGCCGAAATTATTAGTCGCTAATTTTCCCGAAGCGGACTCATCTTACACACAGACCGACTGTTTCCAACCGAGGCTCATTTACAAGCAGAAACGTTTTTAATTGTGCTTCACTTTTATGGATTTGCTAATAAATCCGTGATGCGGAATAATAAAACTTAGATAATCTTTGCCTTATTTATATCTGGTGTAAGATTTTACAGTCAATATAATGCAAATGTTTTTAGATTCATGGTAGTAAAGATGTTTATCTTAATATAGGAAAGCTTTCGTGGTGAAGTTACGGCTAAATATCTACATGTTCTAAGCATAAAACAGACCTAAAGCCATTTGCGTCTTTATCTAATATTATAATATGATTTCTATATTTAAACATTTGCATGTCATAGGCTTTATTATTATCTTTTAGCTTATTTAAGATTCATTGCGTGCTTTAAAACATGATTACAAAAGCCAACGAGATTAAAGGAAAATTTAGACTTTGTCATTAGAATAAAATTACTTTAGAATTATGGTCGAAGAGTGCAAATATGGTATTTGATTTGCTGTTTCCTATAGTTTTTTAGTAACACAAAATATTTATACAAACGATTCATTAAAAATTCCAAACTTTCCTTAAACTTTTTAATGATACCTGTGAATAAAATGTATAAAAAACGACGACAGATGACGAATCATCAAATGAATTCTCAATTCAAATTCTAATAATTTGGTTAAACTATACGCGACGAATTGAGGATTGTATGATGTATCATTGGAATAATTTTTTTTAAACTAAAAATTTCGTTATTATAACATTAATTTTTTGGTAAAATTGGACCATTTTTACAGTGATTGTCGTGTTGTAAGCCAATTTACTTTAAATGGGATCGGAAACAAATTTCATCATATCAAAAGTAGCGAGCGTTATACCGATAAACTTTGAAAGCATCATCTTTGAAGTAACAAAATGACATTTTTACTATCAGTGTTAATATAACTTTCATTAAATCAAAATTGTAAGAAAATTCGTGATGATGGTTTTAAAATGTCGCCTGAAATAGGTACAGGATTATTTCCGCACGATCAAATTTACTCAACAAAGCGCGGACGCAGGAAGTAGTGCAAAAAGAAACGTTCTTGGCTTTTGTTAAAAGAATTTTAATTTAGATTTTTATGGAAGGCGACGTTAATATAACCTACCTACGAATAAATCTTGAAAAGAAATGAGAATGGTTTATTTAAACCGTTCTCGTCCACGCGATTTACTCAGCGTGAGATCTATAGATTTTCGAATCAAATGTATGGGGTTAAACCAAGGAAAGTAAGATTCATTGCAACAAAGAACGAAAGTGAGTTTATTCATATTCTTTTTGTCAGCTCTATGACACGTTAATAACGTACCAGTAGGACCAGTGAATGTTGTAAAAGCTAAACTTATGTCTACTTTTCTTGTCTCTGCTTTTGTGAAGCCTTTTTGGATTATGATAATTTGATGAAGTGAACGGTTGTTAGAAGTTTTGTGGTAGGCTATGGTTGATAATATATGGAATGATTTTGTTTTGGCCCAAACATCGTTGATTCATATTAATGAAATGCAATTGTAATGCAAATTCTTTACTGGAAGTGAGTTGTTAGCCATTTGTGTGTCAAAATCGCTTCGAGCAAATTGAATGCGCGATTTTTAAGGCGGCTTGAGCTTAAAATGTCAAACGCCGGCGTCGAATTAAAGCAAAACATTGAGAGGTTCGTGTAAAGCTAAGATAAGTAAAGGCATCGCTTTAAAAAGACGCAATCCGCGTCAAATCACAATATGTAAATACGGCATAGAACAATTTATCCGGTTGTTGTGATGCAAATGAGGAGGCGAAGAGATGGTTGGCGCGAGGGAGTCTACCAGTAAGGCATGATTGGAACCGCTGGCTGTCACCGGGGCCCCGGACAAAGATTATTAAATCAGGATTAGCGGTGTGTTTGTGACTGGTCTGGAACCTTTTACAAGAAAAACAAGCATTGATTTGTTGGCTGTGGCAGGAATGTCGAGATCATGAATACGAATTAACAGCCACCAGATGTAGGGTGTTCGATTGTAAAATGCTGGGTTTATATCCACAAGTCTTGTTTGTGGACCGTAAAACCAATGAAGAGTATGGTTTATCACTTTCGGACGACTCCTGAAGTAGCTCACTGCTCGAAATGTAAATGGTCTTAATCAACTGTTCGCCGGAAAAATACGGACACATCATATGCTAATATGCACTTCCATACATAAAATACACACAACCAGACCACTTACTCCACGAACACCTCTGGGAAACTCAAAGATAACTAACATATAAAATGCTATTTTTACTACTTCTCTTTGGTTTCATGCTAGTATTTTTCTTACAAAGTTTGTTTTGCCATAGTTTCTTATGCTAAAAGTACATAATAATCTGAAATTTTGGTAAAGGTATATTATGTGCCTTAAGCAATTTAAAATAAAAAAATGAATTTGAAAACAAAAGTAGCGAAAATTAAAAAAAAAAATCCTAATGAATCTTTTATTGCATACTAAGTTTTTTTAATTTTATGTTTATTTTGTAAATACTGGAATTCGAAATACTTTGAATTGATATAATTCTAGTATCATCTTGAAACATGATTTAAGCTGAACCTCTTAAAATTTGAAATTTCTTTGTTGACAATATTTTGCTTGTATCGCTTAACCCATCATTGTTATCCTTTACGTCAAACTGTGATCGTGCACTTTTTAACCCCATCTTTCGGGCTGAGTAGCTTCAGAATTGATGTCTTCTATACAAAAGATAATAAATCGATGATTACTTAGCCTGTAATCCCCCAAGTTACATGGACAATTTGTGTTTACTGTAACTAACGAAGTGTGAGAAATAATACACCAGTTTTTATCGGTCAAAACGCGAAGTCATGATGATGGACGCGTCATGGGACGCTCCAGGTGTTGCATATATTGATGGTCAAGGAAAAATATTTCCACTTTGATAAATTGTGTTTACCTGAGCTGGTGCAGTGAGTCCTGCTGACATTGCAGCGGCCGATTGTTGGGCCGCCGCCGCTGCTGCCGCCATTGACGCTGCACTTAGGGACCCATAAGCCGCCGATGGGTTGTAATACGAGGCCATGGACTGACCCATACTACTGGCGGCCATGCCTGGAAAAAATAAAACAACATGAAATGTTTAGCGAAAATGAAAGTAAGTACCTACAACTGCAATCAATTAAAGTGTCAATCAGTATTTTGAACGGTTAAGATAACATTTAAAATTTTTTATTTGTGTGCAACTGTCTTACTTTTGAAATAGTTGCAACGTAAATAAAGACACAGGAAATATTCTAAATGTAAGTTCACACTAATTAACACAAGAAGACATGGATGTTATATCTATATACGAAACGGTATTTTAATTTATGTCTAAATTATTGTAAATGAATAAATACATTTTGTTTGGTGGTTCAACTAACTATCAAGGCTAAGAAACAGTTACATTTTACAAAATTTATATTTGAACACAACCGGATATAAACATTGAACAAGTCTTAATGTGTGTCTGAATAAAATTTGCTGAAGTGCTTCAGTCAAGTCCAAGTATAATTTTTTAAATGTTTATTTATCAGGTAATGTTTATTTATAAGTATTGTTAAGTTTATTTAAAGTATTGGTACTTTTAGTTTGAATGAAACTTGTTCTACATTTGATTTGTTGACCTCTTTTTACCGCTATTAATAGGATATCAATAGTAAGACAGTTGTCAAAAAAAAAAATACAGTAATAACTTCAGGCAACTTACGGGAGTCCTTGACTGGATCATTCTCCTAGTTTTTTTCACTTATAATTACACGAGAGCTTTTTTTTAAGTAAACTTGACATTTTAATGAGAATTTTGTTTTCTGGCAATTTAACGAAAAAAAACTCCTTCTGAAAAAATTACAAGCCCGTATTGGACGAGTAAAAATGTCAAGTTTTCTTCGTAAAAAAGCCTGTGTGTAATTCGGTAAGACAATTTAATGAATACGTAAATCACTAAATTAACAAATAAGGTGTAAATTAGTTTATTTAATGGAAAGTTCAATTATTAAAAATGATGCAGACCTACTAGATCCAGACGCTTTCAAAAGTTAGGTTCCGTTCTGTCGCTGTAATGGTTAGGGCAAACTTTTGTCGCTGTCATAGTGACAAAAACACCGCGTATGGGATTTTTACTGTATGGAAAAAATTGTCAGTTTTATTTATTTCATTATAAAGTTACATTTTTCCCTTTGTTAACATCTATTTTGGGAGATTTTAAATTATTGAAAAAAATATTGATACGTTTATTTCAATAATCGATCCTCTTTTTCGACACATACCTGCAGTTAAAAGTTTGCTGACTCACTATGTATAAATTAATTGTTACCAACAATGGGATGGAATGTTTTCTTGACACTTAAGATATGGGCATGTTTGATAAATGTGACACCAGATGACCGAGTAATGTTTTTCGTGCTTATTTTTGCCAAGGTAATTGTGTTTTCAAGTGCCTGATTGAATGTATCGTATTATTATTAAAGTTTTATTATGTTCGGACTGTCATCGTCATGTAAGGTTATGGATAATATTAAATTGAATTTATCGAAGTTATTTATACTGACAACGTATCTGGATCTTATTGGTTATCCCACACAGTTTCAGTCGATTTCAAGCAATTTGCTTCTAAAAATGTGAAAGCTAGCTTTGTGATTCAAAACGTGAGGATTATTTCGCAAGGAAGTAAACAGAAGTGTGCAATATAATTTTGCTCTCATCCATAATTTAATCGTGATTGAGATACGGAATTATCATATTAATTAGTTCCAAAGCAATCAGCTTTTCATACAGATGTTGGTAATACCTTTTATTGAGTGGCATAATTACAATAATAAAAGGAAGGAATTTTTGTATTAATTGCTTTACCCGATTTATTTAGAATTTTCTATTCTAAACCGATCAATAAAGTGAACGGAGATTAAGACCGTATTATGCATTGTAACCGTTTTATGAAAGAATGCGTTGTAATAAGAAAAAGCGCTTTTTAAATGTTTTAATTAATGCTCGAATGCATTACAGGTTAAAAATTTGACGCTACTGTGCTAAACGATTAAATTATCCAATTAGGAAAGACTTTATAAAAATCATTAACGATGCAGCCGGATCGTAAAATCCGTGTGTGAAAAAGAAATAAAAAGCCGCGATGGCCAAGCTGAAGGTATGAGACGGCGTATTTACGCGTCAATCACAACTCATTTGAACGAGAGATTTGACAGGTGAGATTGGTGTACGTAGTGATTTATAATATTACAGCAATAGTGAAGACAGAAATGCTTGTAAGTGACAGATGTGTGTGTATAATTTTGTATCTGAAATGTGTGATTACGCACGGGTTAAAAATGATGACTTTATTCTTGGAGAATGCCAGTTTGACTCCTACTATTCATTCTTTCCGACGTAATTGATGTGATTAATACCTTTTTTGGATGTTTGGATTATCGAGTTTGATTATTATTGATCGATCGGACGGGAATGCTTGCTATTATCAACGATTCTTCAAGAATCTAAGTTGCAGAGAAAGCGGCAATCAAAAGCTTAATTAAAGCTTAGGGGCAAATTAAATACAATTATTTAGTACAAGTTTGTTTCAGTCATAACACCCAAAGTTTCACAACAAACTCGTTTGTAAGCAAATAAGAAATTGCATAAATCGAATTTTGCAATTTTATTTCAAACGTAAAAGCTTTATAGTCCTGCAAAAGCACTCTTAAATTTCTTGCCAAGCGTCTAAAACGGTATAGTTTGGTCTAGTTTCAAAACATGGAAAACACAGGACATAAAAAATATAGATCATATTGTTAAAAGTAATCGATCAATTTTGGCATTTCGGATTATTCATCCTGTATGTTTTGTGTAGATATTGTTTGTATTTTTGGATTTTTTTTATCAAAAATTTATAAAAATTTATAAAGAGTGAATATAAAGTAGGGAACTAAGCGGTTTTTTTTAATCATTTGTCTCCAGAATATATAATTAATTTCTAAAAATAATGTAATATAAAAAATGTGATCGTATTTTGAGAACGAAATTTTATTTTGTTTTGGAGTTATGCGATTTTTTTTTTGTTAAAATTTTATTTATCTATGTAATTTTTTTTTTGAAATAATATAAATTGTAATCCTTAGATCATAACTTTCATGAAAAAAATGGTTTCATAGTGGGGTGCCATTATTTTTTTTTGTATAACTCAAAAACAAATAAAAATTTTGAAAAATTTAATTTTTGATAAAACATTACATTTTTATATTACTTTATCATTCATTAGTTAGTTTTTCTAAAAAATAAATAGTTTAAGCAAAAAACGTTTGGTTCCATACTTTTTATTCGTCTGGAATGCACTACCTCAAAAAAAAGTAAGTAAGTAAGACGTAAGTAAAATAAAAGACCAAGATTTAGAAATTC